GTCCCTGCCTGGCAGAGTCTGCAATGCTGGCGGTTGACAGATAGCAGCACTGCACGGGGCGATACACGGGAGTCTGGGTCCCAGAACACTAAGTGCCAAAAGACTGGGGCTTTCCACGACCAGTTTAAGAGCTGGGAATACCAAACTGTGCCCATCTTGGGAATTCAGCCCTTCAAAGGGGACACTTCAGAGCCATGAAAGCATGTAGCCATCGATGCATTTTCCTTCCAATCCTTCCCAGTCCAGACTGATCCTAGCTGTCACGAGGATGGCTCCCAAGGGCAACCTGACAAGAACCAACCGCCGAAGTGGCTATCAACATCTCCCAGGGGCTGCAAAACCAACACACAGCACACCTCCCACTCCTACCTCCTGGGTGGCTTTTACCACTGCTCAGGGTTACCAGGACAGAACCGACCACAATATCACAGCTCTCCCTTCAACCATTAAATATTAGAAACAAAAGCTGGAAGGTGCATTTTTCAGTGCAGTTGCAGGTTTAAACCTCTCCAGAAGTCCACAAACGTTCGCAGCCTCCAGCTCCCAACTCATCGAAGCTGCAGCACCTTATAAAGCCTCTGAGATTTTGCTACCCTGACACTCACAGCTGGGCTCGCTGGCTGTGCTCAGTGCCGCATCCAAAATGAGGCAGGAACATTTCTCACTGCCCTCCCAGGCAAGTCACCTCCAACTGCAGCCCCCAGGCTACGAGCCAAGCCAAGGGGCCAGCCAGCCAACTGTCTCCCTTCCCCAGAACCTGAGAGCAAGCAGCGCTCTCTCCAGTTGCTGCCAGGATGAGGTCAGACTCCCCTCGACGCTAAAAGCTCTGCTTGAAAAATTGCTGAGCTGGCAGAAACTGCCACTTTGGTTTTACCCATTTCCTGTTATTAGATAAAACAGCAGCAGAGAGCTGAGCTGCTTCTACCCTGGGCTTCTGCCACGTTAGTTACCGCTACAGCCACTGCCTTCAGCAGGTGAATACTGGCATGTCTTGATTTCAACAGGAGTCAGGGCACAGCATGAATTATTTGTGGTAAGCCTGACCTATTTAACAGCAGAAAGCCAGCATTCATTCGAGCCTGGATTCCCCAGAGGCTGCCAGTGTCACTTTACCCCACAGGATAATACAGCCCCGTCGCTATCTCTGGGCATCTTGGCTTGCGAGGGGTGTGGTGGAACTGCCCCAGGCTCTCAGCATTTCTCTTGGAGGACAAGTGACACCTCCATATCCCTTTTGATGTTAGCTACTCCTGGCCTGCAACTGCCTTCTGAGGACCAGCTTTGATCAGGGTTTTGTGACCACCACGGAAAACACGCATAGGAAGCAGAGCAGAGTGAACCCACAGGGCCTTGAAACAGCAGAGAAGTCACCGCTGGCAGCCCGGTTTCAGGCAGACCAGGGCCAGAGGATGTAAGCAGTGTTTGCAGGGTGGCTGCCAAGTTCTGAGCTATTCAGGATGTCTCTCTGCACAGCTCCTTCTAAGCTCTTGTAGTCTCTAATATTGGCTCCTATCCTCAGCACACAGGCCAAGGCAGCCTGCAAAGGGGTATCTCATATCAAGAAGATGCTGAAGTCTTGGTGATCTCAGAATCCTAGATTGCCACCACGTCTCTCAGACCTTACCTTTGTCTGCCAGCGACAGCGTGCTGTTGAAGTACTGCTCCTCCATGGCCCACGCTGTGTCATTGATCTTGTTCGACACCCCGCAGGATCCAACGCAGCTCACCTTGATGGCTGGTGAGAGAAAGCACACGCGAGCACTGGGAGAAAGCAAAACCTCAGGTTCAGACTTGCTTCGGGTACTGTATGTGGACTTGTGCAGGAGCAGTGCTTCACAAAAACACACACAGTGGAATAATGGAGCAAAGGAATCAGGTCACACTTTCATTTCAGAAGCACGTTTTCCCCTTACTCTCAGCACTACCACACACTCCGTGGTAGCCCAGTGCTATTCCCAGATGTTACCACCTTTGAAGTCCTCGAGCTGGCCTCCATGCACTGTGAAAGCCCTTAGCAGCGGTGATTTCAGCTCCCTGAGAGGTAACCCTCTCTCTAGTCTTCTCCCAAATGAAGCAATGTCCCCTCCCAATATGTGCATCAGCCCCAGCACTCGGGCTGACAACAGACCTTTGTGCCAGCGATGCTCCCAATACACTCAGGTGTTCAGGTCCAGACAGGGATAAGCGGCAGAGGACTCTGCTGTTTCCCACCCCACCAGGAGTCGGGCATCCCACCATCCCTGGGAGGAGAGACACGGTCGGCACAAGCCCATTAGCTCACTAACCAAGGTGTACAGCCCTGTCTGCAGCAGAGAGCTGGATCCCCCAGTGCAGCCTGAACTGCTGCTGCTCGAGTTCAGAGCCCAGCCACCCACACCAGACAGCCTGCTCCCACGTCTCAGGGTCACTCTCTGCTTCAAAGGATTGCAGCATAAGCACTGTGCCCATTAACGCCTGTCCCGCATCAGGACCTCCGATCACACTGATAAGCAGTTTGCTTCTCAGAAGCCAGACACCACTTCAGGCGAGTGGCTTCCTCCTCCTGTTAGAGACACGGGGCTCACAGCAAAGCCACACAGCAAGCTCTGGAAGCATCTGAGATGCCATCTGACCCTCCCAAAGCAAGGAGAGTAATTTTTGTGCCTTGCCTTGGGAAAGTCACCCCAGAGCTCACCCTGCAGCATGGCTTTCGGATGAGCTCTGTGGCTTTCAGAAGAGCTACCCACCAGACCTTTCAGTTAGCCCTGGTCCATTCACAGCAGGTTGAAATCAAGCTCTGATGCCGACACTGGACCACAGAGGCAGACAAACGTGACAGACTGGCCTTGCTGCACAGCATGACATGATCTGTGGTGCTATTCCCATGCAGGAGGGATGCAGGCAGACCTATCGCAGCACAAACCGGGTCTTCAGGGTTGTCCCAGCCTGAACGTCTCCTGTCCTGATTCTCACCACATTTCACAACAGCTTTAATGGATCCCACAGAACTCCCTCACCGGATTTGCCAGGTGAACAGTTCTGCTGGCAGGAAGGTGGCAGGAATTACCAGACAGACTCTTTTCCCATTTCACCCATCTGCTCCCCTGTATTCAAGCCACATCTCAGAGGAAGCATCTCCCTGGGAGGCAGGCCGCCACTCTGCATTGGCTTCAGAGCTCTGCTATCCCTGTTCCCCATGCCTTCTCAGCCATGCTGCTCTCACTGCCTACCCAAATGCTGAGGGCTGCTGCTTGCAACGACCTTGGACAAGCTCTTCAGAGCACCTGCCTGGCCAGTGTGACCTTGTCCTCCATGCTGACCCAAAACAGGGTGGAAAGAAACCCAAACCCAGCCCTGGCAGCAGGGGAAATGCAGAGTTCTTACCCCAACCCCCATTACCAGGGCTTTGCTACATGCATTCAGCTGGAATGGGCTCCTCGGGGCTTAAAGTCTCTAACCCCACACTGAAGAACAGCCTCCCCCCATCAGATCTCCTGCCATACCTTCACAGCCTGATCCGGACTTTGAATACCAGAGCTCGTTGCAGTCACAATGCTGGTTTATACACAAGGACAAAGGATAAGCAGCTCCAGATGCCAACTCTCATTAACCAGACATCAATACATCACTCGCTTGTTGGTGTCCGTGATACGCACCAGCACGCCCAAGGCAGAGGAACAACAGGAGAGCATGGCCCGCGACAGGAGCTGCCCACACCACGGCACACAGCACACCTGGTCTGAGCAGGTCCCCTCCTGAAGCAAACCATCACGGCAAACCCCCTGCACACCCTGGGTGACATCCATCTCCTTTTCCAGATGGCAGAGCCCGTACCATGGAGTGGTTTCAGCATCAGAAAGAACAGGGAGCAGTTTTAGCAGGGTGGCATCCTGCGTACCCACACGTTGGTACCAGTTCTCATTCTTCTACCTCGGACACACCACCATGTCTCTGGGCTCACGACCAGCCTGCCCTGCTCCGAGTTAGCCCAGATAACTCGGATGGCTTCAGTCAAATCAAAGCCAGACTCAACCACTCGACTCCCACATTTTCACACAAGTAAGAAAAGCCCAACCAAGAACTGGAGAACCTTCACATCCTTCAGGAGGAACAGCCCCTGAACAGGCTCCTCTCAGCCTCCGTTCACCACAGAGAGGTTTCCAGATCCCCACCATCTGTTCCAACACCCAGATAAGGAGATGATGGTCTTTAACTCAAGCCTGCTTGCTGCACTGCGGTGCTGAGGCTCTCCTGTTCCTGGGAGGCAGGTGGGTGGGCACGTTCAAGCACATACACGCTATGGCCCATCTCCCTTCCCACAGGGACTCGGTAATCCAAGGCGGGGGGTTTGCAGACCAGCAGATCCACACTCAGGGCCAACCCTTGGCTGGTGGTCCCTGCTGCAATGGCAGACACCCTATAGCCATCAGGCCTAAAGTCAGACCATGTCTAAAAGTCTCTCTGCAGACAGCTAACGAGTTCTTCATCAAGTTCCCCATCACAGGCACAGGAGCTGGCAGCTCCTGTCAACTAACCACCGACACCCCAAACTGGCATGGTGGCAGCCAGCCTGTGCCTACAGAGGAGGTGCAGCTCCTGGAGGGAGAGCTCTGGGGCTCTCAGGGTCCCAGTCCTGCATCCCCACTGAGGGCAGCCCTCTCCAGCCACGTTCCTGACCATCACAAACCCTGGGGGTGCCATTCCAGGTGCGTTAGGGCAAGCGAAGGGGCAGAAAGCAACACTGGAAAGCTCGAGGGCAGCCCTCTCCAGCCACATTCCTGACCATCACACACCCTGGGGCTGCCATTCCAGGTGCGTTAGGGCAACCGAAGGGGCAGAAAGCAACACTGGAAAGCTTGAAGGCAATTTCACAGCAATGGAGAAACTCTCCCCAAAGCTGCCAGAGGACCATCACCAGGCACACCAGGTCACTAGATGCAGGACAAGCAGGGGGCAGAGGATTTGTTAAAGAGCATCTTCTCCAACCTACTCCAGAAACATGAGATTCCTCCCGACTCACAGAGGGAGAGATGGGGTGGACGACAGCTCTGAGCATACACATTGCCCCCTAGCCAAGAGCAGGGCTGTGGCTGGATATGGGGATCGCATGTCCCAGTTTATCCCCCAGGCTCCTGGAGGAGCCAGCAGATCCCCAGGGTGGGTGATGCTGGGGGCAGCCAGAGAGCCCCCCCATTTCATCCCCACAGCCACAGAGCAAGCCCCAGTGGGACAGCCTGGCAGTGCAGGGCTCTCGATCCCCCCAGGTTATTCAGGAGGTCTCAGAGCATCCAGTTCACCAGGTAAAACCATTTATCTTATTCCTAACCAGGTTTTGGAGCAGCTAACCATGAAATCAGCCTCACCACAGGCATCCCATGGGCAGAGGAAGATAGTGGGGACTTGCCCGGCTATAATGTAGGGGCTCCTGCCTACAAGCAGGAAGAGGGACAGAGGCATCTGACAGGCACAACTCGGGCACGCGGTACTGGGGGCAGCTGCAAGCTGAAAACGGCGTCGGCGGGACAGGTCTGGCAAACCGGCACCATCAGAGCCGCTGCAACTGGAGCCACCTGAGGTGCAAAGCTCGTCAGCCTGGCTGTCAGGAAGCGAAACGCGCAGTCTGAGCCTTTCCAGGGAAATCTCTGTGCCAAGCTGCAGATAGAGCAAATAAGAAAAGTTTCAAGAAAAGTTTCTACATCAGAACAGGCCAGTTCCAGTATCAGAAAAACCCAGTAAAAATGCCTCTGGAATCCAGTGCTACCAGTGGCCCCAGTTACCACGCTCCTGCTCCCTGTTTACCCAGGCTGCTTTGAATAAATACAGGAAAAAAAAAGTCCAAAAACTGAAAGGGAAGTGGAAGGGGGAGGCAAAGAGCAGCAAGCATAGAATAAATGAATTATGAAGCCATGCAGAAGACAAGAGCCCTTCACCCCTGCAGTCCCCCGGGGATTCAGGGAAGCAGGCAGCTTCGCATCCAGCCAGACACATCTTAAGCAATGTGCTCCAGCACGCGCCAAATGCTGGAAATAAAAGGAGACAGCTCAGCCATATCCATCTCTGCACAAAGTAAAAATAGAGATGCCAAGAGCTGGGCACATCTGACTTCTTCCAAGGTGATTTAAGGAGAGCAGCCACAGACTTCAAATTGCTTTTCCTGGTGACCCAGTGAGCTGCCCTCCTTGGGGGAGCTGGGGTTGCATCTCGGGCAAGAGGAAAGCAGAGGACACGCATCCCCCTCCTTGCCAGTGGCAGGCTGTGTGTGCGCATCCCTGATTCCAAAATCCACTCACGTGCTGAGCAAGCAGAGTCTCACCACCACCCTGCACTTAGCAGCAGGGCCAGCCCCAATCCCAAGTGACACCCTCCGGCTTCCAGTCCCATCCATGTCGCACACCTGCTGCAGCAGGTACGGGCAGCAGACAGCAGTGGAGGGAAGGAGATGCCGACAGCTTGGTTGGTTTGGGTTTTCCAGGGTGGGAAGCAGCACAAACAGTCAGGGGTGGTGGCTGTTGCATTTAGCAGCAGCCTACCCAGGACAAACAGACCATCCAGTCATTCCCCTTCGTCTGCAAGGACAGACGAAGAGCTGGTGACTGAGCTCTGAAACAGCAATTAGGAACAGCCCTGGGTTTTTGCCAGCTGAAGCCTACTCGAGTCAGCACACAGCCTTGGCCATGTCTGTTGGACCCAGAGCCTCCAGCCATCCCTGCTGCAGGGAAGGGGGTGCCTGGCCCCACAAGCGTGGGATGAGATGGA